TGCAATTCATCAGCTGCATTGTGCCACCAACAAAGCCTGCCCCGGGAGCAGTCTTTATCTCTCTCTCTCTCTCTCTGTCTCTCTGGCGGACTGTCCAAGTTTAGGCCACATGTAAATGGCAATTAAGTTGCCGTCGTCGTCGTCGTGAACTTGTGAACCATTCCCCCAAGCACAGGCATCATCATCATCATCAGCAACAGCAGCAGAAGCAGCAGCTGCTTGGGAGATCTAGGAGGAAGTTCAGTTCCCATTTCCATGTCTGAATGGTTCCTGCAATTAATCGCAGCTCAAGTGGCTCACTGATTGCAATTAATCTTCATTAAGGCTACTGCCCAGCCCTGCCCAGCTCTGCCCTGCCCTGCCCCTTTGTCCGACTGTCCAACTTCTTCTGGGTGGATATGTCCTTTGACATAGGTCTTTTAACTATACGTTTTTCCGTTTTTCCCTTCGTTTTGGGGCTTATCCTTACAAACCAATTTGGTGATCGTGAGGTGTTGTTGTCGCTCAGCAGCAGCAGCCGCCGCAGCAAACATCGACAACGACGGCAACGACTGAAACGACTGAAACGACGACGGGCCAGGTGACCGCACAGCAATCACCTTAATTAAACATTAGGCAAGCCTCGCTGAGTGCCAGGCTTCTGGAGATTGTGTGTGTTTGCTGTTTGCTGTTGGCTTGGCTTGGCTTTCCGTTCGATTCGATTCGATTCGACTATGGGCCTCTGTATTGCTCTGTACTCTGCTCTGTGCTGTGTGCTCTGCTGTGGTGTAGTGTGGTGTGGTCCATGTCAACGATTTCCGTTGCACAAGGTAACAAAAGGTTGTGCCAGCACAGTGGTTCCAGAAAGCGGGGAAATTGTTGAGTTATGACTTTCTGCCTTCCAATTGGTACAACGATCCTTGTGGTATTATTCTACGCTCTTTAGTCATACTCCTGCTATTATTTTCATGAGGTTTTGCTAGTATTTTTTTATTTTTTATGGTATTTTTTTGTATTTCTGGAACGTTTTTAAAGAATTTTTCAGAATTGTATACCTATATTCATTTTATTTATCTAATGAGTTATTTAAAAAAATACGATTTTTCTCGTATTTTCTGGTATTTTTCGGTATTTTAAAACTAGTTTTGCTTCTATATGTATGGTATTTTTTCTGGGAATCTCTGTAATTTTTATATTTGATTGTTTTATTATCTTGTGTGGTATTTGTCTAGTATTTTTAGGGCATTTTTCGGTATGATATTTTTCTATTATTTTTTATTTCCTTTCCCGGATATTTTTCGTAGTATTTTTAGGTATTTAATCTATTATTTGTCTTATTTTTGAATGGTATATTACTAGTATTATTACTGGCATTTATTTTTAAGCTTTTCGGTTATATTAAGTATTTAATCTTGTTTCCCGTTATATTTCTATAATTTTTCTTGTGACTTTTAAATATTTTTTTTTTTGGTATTTTTCGTTATATTTTTGTCTGATATTTTTCAAATGCCGGTTTTCTGGTATTTGTTGTAGGATTTGTTAGGTATTTATTATATTCATTTTCTGATATTTTGCTTGTATTTTTCTGGTATTTATTCTCAAAATTTTCGCGTATTTTTAGTATTTGTTTTCGCTTTTCCCAATAAGAATCTGGTATTTTTCTGGTGTCTTTTCAGTATTTTTTGTGGATTTTTCTCTAGTATTTTGCTGGTATTTTTATAGTATTTTTCTGGTATTTTTCTAGCATAATTTCTGCAAGCTAATGTTGGACTTCCCTTCCGTAAACCATTGCCACTGTGCTCCCCACTGAGTGTTCGCACTCCGAGAGCCTGGATCGCGTTGCCTTAATTTTCTAGCAGTTTTTCTTGACTGTTTGGCTTTCATTCCGTACCCGTTCGCCTCGGAACCCCGGATCCCTGGATCGTGTTTTGCTGTTGTCGGCGGTGTCAGGCGTCGCCTCTCGTTGACAAATGCTGAAAGCCTTTGTGTGTGTCGCGCCCCGTCTCCGTTTTTGTGATTTTTCATTGGAAAACGTGGAACGATCACCCAGGTTGATTTGATGACAAAGAAGGAGCAGGAGGAAAAACGGCAAACGGGCAACGGGCAAAAAAAAAAAATAAACTGAAATAAAATAAACGGGTCACGTTATTAATTGGTGAACCCTTGCCAAGAGATTTATGAATATTGATTGCAAGTGAAGTGCAACCAGAAGTGGCAGCGGCAAGCAGTACCTACTGCCACCAGAAGCGCGGCAGCTGCATTTGGCCCTGGCCTCCTCATAGGAGTGCTGCTGCCGTTGCTGCAGTTCTCTGAGAGATTGAGTCAGCTTCCTGTCGATTAGGGTCACTCAGCTGTGTGGCAATGCGAATGCGAATGCGAATGCTTCGACTCCCTGCATCTGCCCCGCCCCGTGTCCCTCTGTCGGTCAGTCGGGGTCATTTCCTGGCTAATTAGTTGCCATGAGAGATTTGCTTTTTTTTTTGCTCTCTGCATCTCCATTCAGCAATTAAGCGCCGTCGCGTATTTATGATATTAATTAATTAAGACAATTTGTGTGTCGTGTATCGCCATGTGGGAAATGCGAGCTCTGCAATGGATTTTTATTCTTTAATTTTACTATGGAAATCAGAATAAGAGACGATTGTATTTCAAGGAGAACGTTCTAAAGAATGAAAGCGGAGCCTATGATTTTGATTTGGAATTGATTAAAGCTGATTTAGGGGTTTATAGGGCTTATGTTTGATTAAAGTTGAGTAAGGCATGATTTAAAAAACAAATATATTTGGAAAATACATATAAAGAGGTTTTAAGTGACAAGAACTTTGGTAAATAAGATTTTCCTTACTTTTCTAAGGCCATTTCTCTCAATAAATATATGAAAGATGTTTAGGGAATATATTCTTGCAGATCTTTTTAGGCCCGAAAAATGTAGTTTACCAATTTTAGAATATGTATTTATTTTCAGGTATTTATCCTATTATTTTTCTGGTATTTATTGTATTATTATTCTCATATTTTTCCAGTATTTTTCTCAGATTAGTCTAGTATTTATTATATAATTAGTATGGTATTCCAAAATATTTCAGGTATTTTTATTATTATTTTTATATTATTTATCGATATTTTTCTCATATTTGTCTAGTATTTTTTCTGGTATTTATTTTATAATTTGTATGGCATCCTATTGTTTTTCAGGTTTTATTCTATTATTTTTCTCATATTTATTGTATTATTTTTCTCATATTTATCTAGTAATTTTCCTTTTATTTATTCCATAATTTGTATGCTATCCTATTATTTTTCTGGTAGTATTATTATTCTCATATTTACATATGTAGTATTTTCTTTAGCTTGTATGTTTTTTTCAAACTTTATAATATTTACTTTAATATTTTTTTGAAGTTTTTATAGAATTTTTATGGAATATGTTTAGTATTTTTATATTTTTATGGAATTTGTATAGCACTGTTTTATAGTATTTTTCTGGAATTTTTATTGGATTTTTTTAGGCATTATTGTAGTATTTTTCTGGAATTTGTATAGTATCTTAAAAAAACATCAATGATGGACCTTTTTTAATTTTAGCCATAGAAAAAAAATGGCTTTAACCGAAAAATAGATAATTTAAATACAAAAATCTTCTATATATCATAAAATCTCAACCAGAAATGACATTTACACACTTGAGAGGCAACATTTTAATTGAATTTTGAGGCGGAAATAGCACCGTTAGGCCTCGATCGAAACCACAAGCTATATAATTTAATTTATACGCATTTATACGCCCCACCCGCACTCGCTGCACCTCCTCCCATATCCCTTTACCGACGTGTTCGAACGCCGATGCCAACATTGACACAGTTTGGGTGGTCTTGGCGGCGTCTCGAACTTAATTTTCAGTTTTTGGCAACAACCGCAAGAAAGAAGAGCGAAACCGAAACCAAAAACCGTACCGAACCCGAACTCACGTCGGAATCTGAGGCGAGTAATCGATGAGACGTGCGGGCACACACCTGTTGCAGCAGCAGAGAAAGGGCGCAGCAGTGGCAAGTGCCGGACGATGCACTGCATCATTTGCAGCAGAAAAATTTCAATTTCAGGCTTTTGGCAACATTTCAAAAGAGCGACTGACACAGACTGCCTGGACGGAACGGACTTGTCTGTCGTCTGTATTTGAAACAGTCGTCGGGCGCCAGGCAGCAGTGCATTTGAAGGCGCCATCGAAAAATTGCCAAGCGAACGGCATTAAAGTGCGCGAAATATGTTATTATACACTTCCAAAAATTGGGGTACTATAAGCTGGAGGGAGAGGTTTGTTTTTGAAAGAAGGATCTTTAGATTTTAGGGTTTTTGCTATCGGATATATGGCAGGGAATATTCTGTATTTTATGTCTTAGGGTATCTACTGTTTCGCTAGCAGAGATACCCTTTTTTGGGGCTGTCTTGTTTTATTTCCATTTTATTTATTGAGCCATTAGATCGAGAGGGTAGCTTTATGGTAAGGCCTGTGTGCTGTGTGGAGGCAGAGGTTTTTTCCTTTTGGCTGTCAGCTCATTCACAGATTAATTTTGGCAATTTATAGCCGACGAGATAGTTTTTGAGTAACTGCAACATGGAGTGCGCGGAGTCTGTGAATTATGTAATGAGAGTGGGGCAGAGGCGAGTGGAAGCCCCCCAGACAGACGCCCCAAACTAGTGTCACAGATACCCTGGGAAAATCGCAAGTAAATTATGAATAAATGCCAGCGAAATGCAAGAGAAATCAGTCCTAAAGGTGGGCCAGGTGAAGGATGAATAGTGGACTCACCTGTGCCATTGCTGCCAAACCAAAGGGCCACTAGGTCCTCGCTTGGCGGCGTATGATGATGATATGGATTGCCGTACAAATATGGATTGGGATAATCAAGCAGGACACGACGCGTGCCAGGCGATGAGGATTCGGCTAAGAGAATGAAACGAGGATCACAAGTGCGAGAGTGGGAGATACCAAGATGACAAAGGGAGAAGCTCAAGGCACTTACCTTGGGCTATGTGGGCCGCGTATTCCGTGGCCTTTTGTAGATTGATGCGTGGTCGTGGCTTTGCCACAATTTGTTGCTGCTGCTGCTGTTCTGTTGGCGTGGGATTCGGGGGATTTTGATTTGCTGCTGCCGCTGCGGCGGCCGCCGACGAGTCCAAGAGCAGTTGTTGCACCTGCAATATGTCCACGTACTCGTCCAATTCTACCGAGTGCTGGGGCTCAGTGGGTCCCGAGTCGCCCTTTGCCAGCCCCGGGGGATGATGCTGTTGCAGATATGCCGGGCCGATGGTGGCCGTGGCTCCACCTCCACTCGGGCCCGGGGGTTGATGGTAGTAGCCAAAGGCCGGACTGCAGGCCGTGGGCGCAGCTGCAACTGCAGCGCCCTGCTGCACGGCAATGGGCGGTGGTGCCGGTGGGGCGGCAAACTGTAGAGGATTACGGCTCAGACCCAGCAAAGGGGTTGTGGGCGTATTGAGAGAATCCTGCTGGGAGCTGGAGGGCGGCACTAAGCTGAGACCTTGACCATTCAATCCGAAGGACGTTCCTGCTGCTGCTCCTGTGGCTGGTGGCGAGGGTGTGCCGCCATGTGTGGTGGCCGATGACGATGTCGCTACAGGCGGATGTTCGCCCACCGATGCTGTACCTGGATGCTGCTGACTGCCTATCAATTCATTCTGTCGCCGCATTGTCAGCAACATTTTTGTGTTTGAACAGAACGCTGAACGTTAACCGGAACGAAAACAAAACAAAATTGTTCAAAAATAATAAAGAAAAACACAAGTTCTTGGACAGAAACTCCATTTGATTGGTTTGATTCACTTTTCTAAAGAATTCGTTGGGTATTTCAATATTTTGTCGGCTCTTTAAGATCTCTTTGTTGTTTTTCAATTTTGCTTACTTTTGGCAGGTACGTTTATGTTTTAATCACTTGAGTTTTAATCTTTTGTTGCACTTTTTCACTTTTTGATTGGGTTTTTTCTTCAATAATTTTGTTGGTTTTTTTCTTGGAATTTTTCCTTTTAATTTTACGTTTTAATTTTTGCACTTTTGGTCACTTTAAAATTTGTATTTTTCGATTTCCTTAAAGTTATTTGATTGATTTTTAATTTTGAATCAAATCAGTCTTTATGGCTTGAAATGATTGTTCTTTTTGATTGATTTGTCGATTGATTAACATCTAAAAAAAAAAAAGAAAGAAAGAAATTTATTAGAAATATTCATTTAATTTTTAAAATTCACATTTGTATGTTATATTTATTTATAAAAAAACCTTAGGAATAATACTATATTTCCGAACATTCCCCCATTTTTACCCATTTTTTGGTTTACCTATTTCTTAAATTCCCCCAAAACAGGATTGAAAGAATTTTTTAGAATTATTAATTGAATTTCAAAATTTTCGATTTATTTTTTATTTGTATTAAAAAAAAGGAATAGAGTACTATATTTTTTGCTCCCATTTTAATTTTTTTTTTTTGTTTAAATATTTCCTACATTTTTTTATTAGATTTCCCCCAGAATAAGATTGAAAGAAATTTATTAGAAATATTAATTGAATTTTAAAAGGTTCGATTTACTTATTATTTTTAATTAAACCAATAAATCTTAGGAATTATATTATATTTTTTTTTGCGCATATTCTCCCATTTTTACCTTTTCTTTGGTTTCAAAATTTTTTAAATTTTTTACTTTATTTTTCTTTTACGGAAACTCAGTTTTTTTCACCTTTGCTTCCGCCTTAATTTATTTCTTAATATTCGAACACGAAAAACATTTATAAAATGCCTTTTATATTGATGACAACAATAAAACCACACTACAGTAAAATTGACACTACAGTAAAACCTTCACTACAGCAGATAAAAAGACACATCAAGACACTGAGAGTTTTCTTTCGAATAAAATCTACATCAAAAATACACGCTTACATATATGTATGGGGGTATTTAAAAAGTATTTAAATATTTTTGTATTACATATTTAAATATTTTCATTTAATTGCAAAAACATTTAGCACAAAAAATATGCCATAAATCTATAGAAAATTTCTCAAAATGATTCCTAGTTTTCTTTCACAATCGTTTTGCCGGCGGCAATTAATTTTCGATTTTTTTTCACTTTTCTTTTGTGTTGATAATTATCTAGCACTTTTTCTTTCTGTTTTGTCACATTTTTCTTTTAATTTGGGGTTTTTTTGGTTTGGAATAATTTTTTAAATTTTAAAAAATGTTGTTTTAATTTTTTGTACGCGCGCGAAAATTTTGTTTTGTTGATTGTTTTGTGTGATTTTTGTGTTGGCCAAAATATTGCGAGACAAGCCGTTGAGCCGTCAATGCGCTACTGGCGCGAGCGGTGAAAATCGAAAATGAAAATGGGAAAACTCGGGCATCGGTAAAAACACAAAACAACAACAACAACAAAAAAGCAGAAGAAAACATGATGAAAACAGCGGCAAATCGGCTGCGCCGCTGCTGTACTTGTGCGTCGGCGTCGATGGCAGCAGCAGCATCGGAGGCGTCGGAAATGTGTCGGAAAATGCCTGTGGAAATTGTATTTAGCTTTTGCCGAACTCTCTGTCGGTGTCTGTCGCTGCCACCGCCGCTGCCACTGCCGCTGCCTGCGTATAACTGTTGATTCTTTGCATGGGATTGCTCTCGCTCTCACTCTCTGTCTTTCTCTCTGTGGCTGTGTGGGTGGAAAACCAGCATTTCCGATTCCGTTGGCAGAGCACAACAATTGTGGGTGAGAGAGAGAGAGAGAGAGAGAGAGAGAGAGAGTGTGAGATGGAAAACTACGTAATAGTTGGGAATATCCTTATCTATCAGATAAGGCATTAGCTTTCACTCTCAGAACGAAAGAAAGCAAGCAACGACCACCGATAGGCGTCAATGGGTCGTATGCGTAATTTATGATTAATCATACGCCTCAATGTACGCCTGGAAATGTTTCCTAATGAAGTTTATATGTTGCAATCCCCCACTTGATATTTAATACAATGACTGACATTTTGGGCCGCGAAATTTCCCTGAAATCCCGAAAGGCACTTGCCTGCTGACTTTTCTGAAAAGTTAACTAAACAACGAACAGAGGAATATGCAAAGCATCGCCTAAAAACCGCCCACAGAAGCATCAACAAATGGCAATTAGAGTGTTGCACACACTCACTCTCTCTCCCTAGTTATGCTCTCTCTCGCGCTCTGTTTTCCCGGAATGGTATGACATTTAAAGGTTAGAGGTTGAGCATCAATCAAAAAGAGCAGCCAGCTAAATGCTACCGGAGAAAGGGCGAAGGTAGTTCTTGAGGCGAAGGATGCGAGGGTTTTAATACGCTTAAAGATTAGGGGCACTTAAGAGGGGCTTAAGATATCATGGAAAGAATTATTAAGAAATAGAGTGGACTTTTGTTTACTTTTTCTTGGACAGATATTAATATTATTATTAAAATTAGGCACAACAAATTAATTAAATAGAGTTCTAGCGTCGTGGGGTTCGAATTTGTTCAACAGGTACATGCTAAGTCACACTGGAAGGGAGAGTGTGATAATTCAAAAAATTCTATACTTTTTTAGGCAAGAAAGTTGTAAGATTTAGGGGAATTCTTAAGGCCACTGCCTCTAAATTCTCTAATATTCCAGATATTTCAGAATATTCCTTGAGAGGAATCCCTCTAGAACAAACCCCCTTTAAAAACCAATATACCCTCTCTTTGGAGCCACTAAATATCACCCAAAACATTAACATCAATAATAATAATACTCGTAATAATGAAAGGAAACCGAAATAAAGTGAGACGTGAGACCTCGACAGAGATGAGGACATGGACTGGCAGGTGGTCAGCAAATCAAAGAACAAGTAAGGACATTTTCGGGGCTCTTTAGGCCATTCAGTTTATCAAAAAACCCCACTCCCCTCCATAAACTTGTTGCTTGTTTTTCGGTTTTCGGGTGCCTTTAAACGAAGCACAACTTTTTGTGTTGTTTTCAACTTCCAATTTTCTAGTGGAACGAGTGCGGGGGCGTGTAAGAAAACGCTCTCGACTACGATGCTAATAGATGCGATTAAACGCCCCCACATTGTCAGGGCTGCCATTGACTGAAGCGTTGCTAGCAGCAGGAGACAAGGAGGCGAACAGGGCGGCCCGGGAGCAGCGGCAGCCACAGCGCTAGGAAGCAAATATGCCACAGTGGTGCATAGGAGATTTCTAGGGGAATTTAATGGGGGTTTTTTTTTGTGTCTGGGAATATGTACTTTTGGGAAAGTCCTTCTGACTTAATATCTGAATTATTTCAGCTTTTAGTTATTTATATATTGATGGAACATCTAAGAAAATTCAATAAAAAAAACCCTTAAAAGTCTCGAAGAGGGTTTTATTGATCGCATTGATTTTTTAACATAAGCCTGGAACCACTTTAGGACTTTTAAACCTCTTTTAAGTCATTCTTTTTACCAAAAATCTCTAACTTTTTACATAATAAAACTATTTTATTTATTATTATTATTATTTATATATTTTTTATTTAGATATATATAGTATTATTATTTTGTAAGGCTCTTTTTGGCCTAAAATGGGTTTTCATGTGTTTTTAAATGAATACAAAATTCCAATAATCCCACTTCTTTTAAGTCATTTTTTTTACTACAGATCTCTAACTATTTACATAATACAATTATGTTATTTATTATTATTATTTTGTATTATTTTATTATTATTTATACATATTATTATTCATATATTTTATTTTTTATTATTATTTAAATATTTTATTATTATTATTAATTATTTGTTAATGCTTTTTTTCCCCTAAAATGGTTTTGCCCATGTTCTTTTAAATGAATAAAAATTCCAATAATTAATCAGCAATATATTTCAAAGTCTTTCCAAATTTTTAATAATTTTTGTGCCCATTTTCCTTCAACTCTTGCCCCACTGTACCTTGGGTGGCCACTCGAAATTTCCACTTGACAGGACCCTCTGTCGGAAGCATAGATACAGGATGTTTGATACTTTGCCCTTTTCCCGGCTTCCACTTCCACTGCGTCTCTCTGCGGGGAACGGCACGTGTGTGGGTTGTGGGTTGTCAATGGTGGCTACTGCCGCCGCAGCATCTGTTGCTGCCTCTGCCGCTGCCTCTGCCAGCGGCGGGACCGTTACATTTCGGCAGCCAATTCTTTCGGAAAAACTTTATGAATGAATGGAGCAGCAAGCTTATCAATGAAATGAAAGCTGAACCGTGACGTCACTGGCGGGAAAATGTGAATTTCCTCAAATTTCATTCATGGAAAGGCTAAAGCTTCACAGAGAGAGTTAGAGAGAGAGAATTTATTGTCCATTTGAACTTTGATATTTGTTTTTTGCATCTGTTCTGGTCTGGACTGCCACCTTCTCCTCTGGGATTCTTTCAAATGTCACCTGCGACTCCTATTTCAGGAGCCTTCGTCCTGTGGCAGCGTTTAATTAGCCCAGAAAGCTTGTGACTTTTTGTAGCAATTTTGCCGGTTGACCTTTGCACCGCCACCAGCAAAAGAGCAACAGCCGCAGGAGCTATTTGTGCGGCTTTTAACCTTTGAGTGTGGCCACGCGCTAATTGATTTGCTGAATGAATACATATGTCATGCCAGGTTGCCAGCAAGAGTCCGGTCTGTGTGTGGGCAAACGAATGGTTCCTGTTGCAAATGACATTTCTGGTTTCATATTCGCCAAGAAA